AGAACTCCAGGCTCCGCGGCTTTGCTCTGCTTTGCTCCCCGTCCCCCTGGTCTTCAGACGCGTCTGGGCTGTCCGCTGCCCACGTGTTCCGCCGCTTTGCTTCCTCTCCCTGGTCTGCTGGAGACCAGGGAGAGGGAGGGCCCCATTCGTAACTGCGGATCCGACATAAGTCGGATCCGTGTAACTCGGGGACTGCCTGTATTTCAAAATAAATTTGAAATAACAGACGGCTTATTCCGACTTCTGTAAACCTCATTCCACAAGGAATAATGCCTATTTCAAAAATGAGGACTGTGTAGATGCTCCACTGCTGCTATTTCAAAATATCCCCTCTCCAGATCCATTCTAAGTTATTCCTCCCCAGTGCCTCCTAGGGTTCTAAATCAAGATAGCACATCTACACTGCAGGGAAGCCTCAAAATTAGTTTGATGCAGGCTTCCCTAATGTAGATGTGCTATTTCAAAATAAGCTATTTTGGAAAAATTATTCTGGAATATCTTATTTTGAAATAGCTGTGCTGTGTAAATGTACCGTGAGTTACTATAGGAGCGGGGTTGGGTGATATTTATAGACCTCCCAGGGACTCAACAGCTGCCCCGCTCGGGGGGGGAGCAGTTGTAGTATCCCACGACAAGGACCTTGTGAAAGGCTTTCTGGAAATATAAGTACACTATATCCACTGGATCCCCTTTGTCCACAAGCTTCTGGACCCCTTCAAAGTATTGTAGTAGATTGGTGAGGCATGATTTCCCTTTACAGAAACCATGTTGACTTTTCCCCAACAATTATGTTCCTCTGTGTGTCTAATAATTCTGTTCTTTACTATAGTTTCAACCAATTTGCTCAGTACTTATGTTAGAATTACTGGCCTGCAATTGCCAGGATCTCCCCTAGAGCCCTTTTTAAAAATTGGCATCACATTAGCTACCCTCCAGTTATTAGGTACAGAAGATGATTTAAAAGAGAGGTTACAAGCCACTGTTAGTAATTCCACAATTTCAGATTTGAGTTCTTTCAGAATTATTGGGTGAATGCCATCTGGTCCTGGTTACTTATTACTGTTTAGTTTATCAATTTGTTCTAACACTTCCTCTAATGACACCTCAATCTGGGACAGTTCCTTAGATTTGTCATCTAAAAAGAATGGCTTAGGTTTGGGAATCTTCCTCATATCCTCAGCCATGAAAACCAATGCAAAGAATTCATTTAGTTTCTCTGCAATGACCTTATTGTCCTTGAATGCTTCTTTAGCATCTCGATCGTCCAATGGCTCCACAGTGGTTTTTTAGAAGGCTTCCTTCTTCTGATAAACTTTTTTTTTTTTTTTTGGGGGG